TGGAGCTAGGGGCGTATGGGTGCACATGGCAACAAGGAACCTATAACTAGGGTACCCATAAAACCAGTAGAAGGAATCCCAATCGAAGTAATCCCCAAACCGGTTTGAAGAATTCGGAATTGTATATAAGTATACCTATATATGGGTATACTTATATACAATTCCGAATTCATCCCCGACCCTAGGGGTGGAGTTAGGGCCATATGGGTGCGGCTGGCGCAAAAGGAATTAACCTTATACCTAGGGTACCCATATCCGATAAAGAATGCCAGTACGAGGAATCCTTATCTAAGTCATCCCCGAATTCAAGAATTCAACCCAAGTCCGGGATAGCATATATGGGGCTAGGGGCATACGGGTGCGCATGGCGCCGAGGAACCTCTAGGGTACCCTGAATATTAGACCCCGACCGAAATTACCCCCGACCTCCAAAACCACAATGTGCCAGGACTCGCGGGTCCCGTCGCTGCCGTGCCCACCTGGGCAGCATCTGGTGTGATAATTCGAATTATATATAATCTATATATAAATATATCGTCCTGGTACAACCAAATTTAAACTATACCCGAGCCTATCACCCCTATATAGGGATCGTAGGGTTTCCGCTCCAGGGTTAGGGTCCGGGCTTAGGGTGTGCCGGGGAATTCATATTTAAGGTCTTCACCCCTATATAGGGATCGTAGGGTTTCCACTCCAGGGTTAGGGTCCGGGCTTAGGGTGTGCCGGGGAATTAATATTTAAGGTCTAGGGTGCAAAAAGCACTTCTGGTTTAAGCTTGGGCCGTACATGCGTTCGCGGGCTGGGTCGGGGCAGGGGCTTAGGGAGTATCAGGGCAATGGGATATTAATTATACAACCCTGACGAAGAGCTCGGCCACGAGGAGGTCGATGAAGTGAAAGAGTGTGCCTTTCCAACGGCGCTGGCGACTTCCTATTCGGAGAGCTTTGCGTCGCTCAGATCTTTGTCGAAACCGGCGTGGATCTCTGTGGACGTTGCTCTCTGTATAGACGTTGCTGGCACCTTTTGCCGTGGTGACTGGGACTGCCGCGCATTACAACAGTAATGGCATTTCTTGCAGCAGAACCCACCAAAATCAGTGCAATCGTGCACGGTGAAAGGGCATGCCACGGCAGCGCAGCTGTGCCTAAAGCTCTGCCAATGGAAGTAGTCAACTCCGGCTCGTGCTGCATGCAGGGGTTGGGTGGGCTTAGAAAATCGAATGTTGTTCTAGGCCGGAGGGCTGGTATTCCTAAACCTATAGTCTCGATCGATATATATATATATATATATATACCGATCTGGCCTGGGGGAAGACCAAGAATTATTCCTGGCAGGGTTTAGGGTTTGGGGTTCGGGGTTTAGGGTATTTCTCCGGCTGAACTCCACATAGGATTTCGGGTTTAGGGTTTCAGGTTTTTTTGTGGGGTGTAGGGTTTTCAGGGTTTGGGGTTTTCGGGTTCAAGTTTTAGGGTTTGGGTTAAGGGTTTTGGGTTTTAGGACCCCCGAAAACCAGGCATCCGAAACCCCCTAAATGCAAAGCTCTGACCGAATGCTATTTGACCTGTAATCCATACAAAGAATTCGGCCCTATGTGAATCCATAAACAAAAAAATAAGCCCTATCGAAACCCGAGCCCGAACCCTATACCCTAAACCTCGAAAGCTGTAGGCGCTTAAGGTTCGGGGTTTGGGGTTTAGGGTTCAAGGTTTTAGGGTTCACGTTAAGGGTTTGAGGACCCCGCGATAACAGCATCCCCAAATCCTAAATCCGAAGCCTTGCCCGGGTCAAAAACCCTTATGACACTGCACTAGAACCCTAAGCCCTGAACCCTCTATTTAGTACAACCCTTAAGACGAGACATATCGAGGAAACCCGAGCCCGAACCCTAAACCCTAAATCTCGAAAACTCCCTAGACCCATATCCTAAGAAAAACTATACCCCTATATAGCTGGGAGCCCAGGCATCCCAGCCATCATCCAGCAGCGCGCCAGCACCTGCGTCGCAGGAAGGCTTACTAATAGTAGGGGATTATAAGGGTTTAGTGTTCGGGGTTGGGGGGTTCGGTGCACCACCTTCTCCCAGCGATGCACCGAACCCCCCAACGCCGAGGTTTTCGAGCCAATGCATTAGGGTTTGGGGCTTAGGGATTTTACACTAATGACCGGCCTATTATAAACCCAAATGACTCCAAAACAAGACCCTCACCCCTGATCCCGAATAGAAGCTGAAACAAATCCCTATGCACACCCGACATCCGAAATTCTGAAACCTTAACCCGACAGCCTAAACCCTAATTCTATAATATATAGGGCAGGGAATAAATATTAGGGTCTTATATATATTATGGGTTGAAGCGGCCTTGGCCACGAGGCAGCCACATCCGCGCCGCAAGCCAGCCGCCAACGAAGATGCACCTGCGATATCTGGATCTGGGCTCTAATATATTTACTATATTATTATGTAGTTTTATATCGATCCGCGGCTATAGGGTTATTCGGGACATGGGGTTTAGGGTTGGGCCTCGGGCCCGTGCTTTAAGGATGTGGGCTTTAGGGTTGGGTTTGGGATTTAAGGATTGGCAAAAAGGCCGATACTATGGGTTCGGGATTTGGGCTTGGGGCTGGGCCTCAGGCCTGGTTGTTAAGGATCTAGGGTCTAGGGTTGGGTTTGGGATTTAGGGTTCTACATTTGGGCTTAAGCTGGAATATTTGGGATTTCATAGTGAGTGGGGGGGTTGGGTTTGGGATTGAGGGGTTAGATTGGAGCCGGGCAAGGGCCGGGATTTTGAATAAGTCGGGTTGGGGTCCGCCGCGATTAATATATATATATATATATATATGGGTTAGGGCTTAGGGCTTAAGACAACCCCAATGGGACTAGGGTACCCCAAATTCGATTCGGGATTAGGGCTTAAGGAAAATGGGGGGGATCCTATATTACAGCCCTTCGCGCCTAAAGCCTAGGACCTAGACCTATCCTACCTATCCCCTAGACCCTTGGGCCGGGGTTAGGGCTTGGGCTTAATTACCCCAATGGGACTAGGGTACCCCAAATTCGATTCGGGATTAGGGCTTAAGGAAAATGGGGGGGATCCTATATTACAGCCCTTCGCGCCTAAAGCATAGGACCTAGACCTATCCTACCTATCCCCTAGACCCAACCCCAATTGGACTAGGGCACCCCAAATTCGATTCGGGATTAGGGCTTAAGGAAAATGGGGGGGTGGGGGATCCTATCCTATACAGCCCTTCGCCCCTAAAGCCTAGGATCCTCGAGACCCAACCCCGATTGGACTAGGGTACCCCAAATTCACTCCGGGATTAGGGCTTAAGGAAAATGGGGGGGGATCCTATCCTATACAGCCCTTCAACCTAAAGCCTATAGGACCTAGACCCATCCTACCTACCCCCTAGACTCCTAGACCCTTGCATGGGCCGTGGGCCCGCAGACTGATGTGGGTCTGCATGCTCGGCTGCAATCTGGAGCGACTCTCGAATGCCCTGAAACTTGGCATTCAGCTCCAGGTCCAACTCATCACTCAGATGACGCTCCATCCATCCCATGAACGAGTGATGAGTGCAGTTCCGTGGCGATGCCCCTTGGGCAAGAGATCCTTGGCCTTGGACAGGGGTGGTCGATCCGGGCCGGGATCTGCTTTTGCCGGGCATTTGCCACAAAGCCGGGCCTTTTTGCTTCCTCATCCCGGAAGTTAGGAGGATCGTCATCGTCGGACGAGTCCCGGCACTGCTCGCTGAAGCTGGGGCATGGCGTCGCCGCCGAGTGCCTCAAGGTGTCAGCACTGCCCGTGCTCCGATGGGTAGAAAAAAAAACCCTGCTTAAGTCTGAAATAACACCCTCGAGATCCGAAGCCCTAAATCCCGGAGTTATAACTAGAGCGAAGACACAAATCTAAGTTAACCCGAGTTATATATATATATACTTCGGCCAGCATTTGGCACTGTCTGTATATGTAGGGCCTTAAGGTCTCACCCCAGGTCAGGGGCTGCCTATTATTCCTGCAAGCCAAAAATGAAGATATTGAATCCCTATATAATAAGAATTCGGCGCCCAACCTGAAACCTAAGACTTTAAGCCCGAAAACCCTGATGCTGAAGCCTAATTTTTAAAACCCGAAAACCCGGAAGTTCCCAAGCACCACAAACAATTGGGATGTTTCAAAACCCGAGGGGGCATGACAACTTAAAACCTCTAAACCCTAAACCCTAAACCCTTAAACCTCAGACCATACATGGCATGAGACACTCGCACCACTTTTATCTTTCCTCGAATTAACCCTTAAACCTAAACCCAAATCCCTAAACCCGATAACCCTGGGCGAAATCCTCGCCGAGGTTTGGCCAGCCGACCATCGCGTGCGACAAGATTAAAATGCTTCTGTGTCGGCTCTCCTACTATCAGGTGGCGTTATCTCTTTAAGGGTTAAAGCCCCCGGGGCTAAGTAATATATATATATATATATCGGGCTGGGTTAAATAGTTTAGGGTCTCGGGTTTAGGGTGCCATGTCGTTCACATGAATGTATATGGAGCCACCGCGATCGAGGCACTGGGCGACGTTGTAACCCTAAAGCCCGAAACCCTTCATATCAGATCCCTGAAAACCCTAAAATCTAAGCCCTGGGTCGGTTTAAGAGCACTTGCATTAGCAATTACATATATCTTACAAGCCCAATTATGTCACTTCAAGAGCTGGTGATGTTAGTATAATGTTACTTACATAGTGGGGCAAAAAACTAGTCACTTCGAGGGGTTTCTGCATCATAAAAGAATGACATGCAGTAGTGGTCGTTTGGAGGGTCCTGGAAGGTTTAAGGCCCCTATATTACAGGGCTTCGGGTTTGGAGGGATGACGGGCCTTCTTGCCCAGATTCCACTGCTGCTCATTGAACTCAGGAAAGGCAATCAGCTCAGCTCTTTTGGTTCTGAAGGTCAGGTCAGGCTCCCAGAAGTAGAAAAGGATCCTGGCTCAGGGTTTTGGGTCAGGAATTCGGGCTTTTGGGTTTCAAGTCAGGCTCCCAGAGGCAGAAAAGGATTCTGACCTGCCGAATCTGCCTTAACCGTGAAGGCCAAACCCCAAAAGCCGAACACGGCACCGAAAGCCGGCAACTAGCCCTGCGTCGGCTCCTGTGTTCCGTAACCACCTTTTCGAAATTGGTCCCTGCAGAGTGCCCGTCGACTGTGGCCAGTGCCAGAGACATGTTCCACGTAGTAGCCTTGATCATAACCTTCCACTTTTCAGGGTTAGACAAGGAGAGTTTGCTGCGGGGTTTGGCAGGCTTTCTTACAAGCTGCTTCCAAGCTTTAAGGCTCCAAATTGGGACTCAGAGCACTCCGAAGGACCTCGTCAGCATCGTACACGTAGTTAAGGGAGCTGCCCGTGACGCAAGGAATACAGTCCGCCGGATTGTTTCTGCACGCATTCGAAAGCCACCAGTAGCCATCGGGGCAATATGGCACGATCTCTTGCCCTGTGAAATCCAGAGCCAAGTCGATGTCCAGAGCATCGAAGTTTCGCTGGAAAGTTTCTAGCCCAAGGGGTAATGCACCTTTCCAGTCCTTGCATGGTATGAGAATCGAGGTGTTGATGTCGTGAATACTCGAGAACCAGCGCTTCGGATTCTGATACTTTGAATCGTAGCTCCTGTAGTCGTCTAAGAATAGTCGCTCGTGATCCTCGGCCAAGTCCTGCGTGAGTCCATCCACATATATCCCAGAGTAGGATGGGAATCCCAGGCTAGACAAGTCTTCCAGCATACCTCCCATCCGCATCCTCTGCACCTCACAGACTGCCGAGTTCAAGGAAACTGCGCAGGATTGGGGACTTAGGTGTTAACGATGACAGTATTCATATGCCGTGCCTGCTGCCAATGCGGCTCGACCTCATTGGTAAGGTAAACTCCCACACCTGCATGAAATGCAGTCCTCTGCCCATTGCAACCTCTCTCATCTTCGTTATCTGCTGTGGGTTCGGCGCAGCCGGCCAGTGCGTAGAGGACGTGCTGGGCCACGCCCGAGTTGGACACCTCTACGTGGACGTTGTAGCCAAGCAACTCTTCTACCAAAATCTGGAAAACAGCCGTCGGCGTGGCGGTTTGCCACTTCGCTTGTCCGTTCCAGATACCCAAGGGGTAGCTGGTGCCGTGGGACGTCAAATCTTTCCGCTCGTGGCGAGGCACTGCTCTAGGAAGACATGTCTGATTGGCCTGCACCTCGGGGACTTCAGACTTCAGACACATGGAATCGATTTGGGAAGCGATCTCCGTGCAACACAACCCGAGTTCCAAACATGAGGCTGCTGCACCCCGAAAGAGCCTATATTGCCGAAGCAGCCCACAAAGGGCAGAGTCAACACAACAGAGCCGGCGATGTGGACGGAAGCAACTGCACTTGATCAGTGAATGTTGACCAAAGGGGTAGGATAGGGACCTTAATAATTAGAATAGGGTTTTGGCGCCCGTTATATCATAGCTATAATAAGGAACCCCCCCCAAAAGAAAATGCTAGGCAAATATTAAGGCCCCTATTTATTAGCATTCTATGCGCGGCGGTGATGACTTAGAGGATGGTCGCTGCATGAACGCTCCATCGGTCCTAGCTACTGCGTGATGACAACCCCTGCCCTCCTGTGAATCTGAACCTCAAGCCCAAAACCGCAAAAACGACAATCGCCTTCCAAGGTGAAGCCTTTCGGTGTGTTCGCTTTAGGGGTTTTTTGGGCCTTGGCTCTTTTTAGCGCAGTTGGGGCTCGTCTCTTGAGCTTCAAACCCGAGTTTGCTCTCTGTCTTGGGGACTATGGGCTGAAACCGAAACAACCTGGCGGCTCCTAGTTAGGGCTCAGGGGGTTTAGGGGGCTTAAGGGGTTTAGGGGGTTTAGGGGGTTTAGGGGGTTTAGGGGGTTTAGGGGGTTTAGGGGGTTTAGGGGTTTAGGGGGTTTAGGGGGGTTTAGGGGGTTTAGGGGGTTGGGGGGTTCAGGGCAGGGTTGAGGGGTTTCGGGTGTCGAGTTTAGGGTGTGGGGTCCTTCTCTGGTCAGCTTCTGCTGAAATGGTGAGTGCAGACCTTTATCTAAGTGTAGCCGAGAAGAAACGGACTGCTTTGGTGTAGATGTCACGATACTGCCCGTTTAGGGTACTACAGTGTAGGGGCCTTGAGAATTAGAATGGGGCTTTGGGGTATCGTGTACTATGCCCGTTTGCTCTGGCAATTGCTTTCTGGCGCTGTTCAGTCGTTCTGAAACTGCGAATCAAACCCAAATTTCTGCTTGGTGACTTCACAGTCTCCCAGCCTTAAATCTGCAGCCTTTGAAGTTGCGCCAAGCTGCCGTAAAGACGCATAAAATCAGGACATATCCCAGCATGTCCTTCTGAAAGGACACTCGAGCTGGGAACATGGCTGCGGCATGTCGGCGCATGCAGTGACAAGAACGAAGACAACTGAGCCGACAGCAACAGCAATGGCAGCGGCAGCAAGCATCATCAACAACACCGGCAGCATCTGCAGTAGCTACACGAACAAAACGAAGAACAGTGAAAAGAACGATCACATCACCAAGGCTGGTGTCAAACATTCGTCGTAAGGAGATGCATGATGATAACAAGAGTACACAGACTACTGACAGTACCAATGAGCAAGCTCACAGCGCTACCCATGTTCATGAGAAACAAAAGGCCCTGGGAACCTTAAACCCCTACTACAGGCCCTGAACCCTAAACCCCTCAACCCGGCTTCTGGTGGATCTGGGGTGTTGAGCTTAGGGCTCTTGATGCTGAAATTCAAGCGACCATTACCAGAAGGTAGAGTCCTACAGATGAACGTCGCTGCTACCAATGCGAGGAATAACCCTTTCTCATTAAACCCTAAAATTAGGTTTAGGGTTTAGGGTTTGGGGTTTGGAGTTTAGGGCCCGCAAATCTTCACCACCGCATTTCCCTGAGCTGCAAAGTCTCCACGTCAGTCCGAATGCTGCCAAAAAAGAGGCCCACATTCGTGGGTCAGGCTTTCGGCGTCGGTACACCGAGTGCTTTCTAAGTTTTAGCTTCTAAAACGCAGGAGAAGAGGTTTAGGGTTTAGGGAAGAAGTAAAGATGATGACGGCTTGGGGGGTCAGAGCGCGGGGATTCGGTCCATCGCTGTGGGCTTCAGGATCTTAGGGCTGAATTTCGGGTTTAGGGTTTAGGCTTTCATCCTTCTGCAAAGACAAAGAGCAGACGTGTGGATCCTACATATGGTGGCAGTCGTAACAGTAGTAGCCATCACAGACCATCGCAACAAGCTTGCTCCGCAGGGTAGCAGATGATATGGACATCGGGGACCGGATACGACTATGAGTTATTCTCCATTGAGCAGCTAGAAAATCTAAGTTCACAGTACTTGTGGTACTTACCACCTCTACTTCAGAGCAACCCCACAAGAAATGACTGAAACCTTCGGTTTTCTCTGGTGTAGAAGAGAGCCAGGCATGAGCCTGTCACTCCCAAACGGGTCTCCTAACGCGGCCACCGGAAAACGGGGTCTTCGACCCCACTGGCCATAGCAATCACGAGTTGGACCTCTTCTTGAATCTGCATGTGGGAGTTTCCGAAAATTTTGGTACCTTAATTTGGGGTCCTTATAATAATGCTCCTATTATTTAGGGTGCTATATTAGGGTCCCCTTTTCTCGGAAACTCCCATGTGCGCTGCTTCTGCCCATCGAAGCAATACCATGAACAAACGGTCTCCAACAAGCTAACAATATGCATCGAGAGTTTTTCTGCGTCCCAAAGACTACTCCCAAAACAACCCTCGATAACCAACCATCCTATACTATTTCGGGGCTTCCGCATTCTAACTATATAGTACATTATGAAGTCCACGATCACACGCACAGAGCATCATCATCGCTGGAGCTCATGTCATCGGTGTCTGCGGATGCGGGAGATGGAGAAACGGCCTGCCATTAAACCCGGCGCACAGGACATTGAAAGGACCAGGGGTGTCAGATCACTGGCGCGAAGATGCATCACAGAATAGCATCAAAACCCAAATAATGAAATACGTAGTCATAACAGTGCTAACAGCAATGATCACAACAGTAGTAATAGTAATAACTATGGGCACCAGCAATCATCGCACAGTTGAAGCCCGGATGCCTAGTGCTCGTGACATGACTGTGGCAAACTCTGCAAAGCCTCCGAAGGTGAACCCTGCGTCGCGCCCTCCGCGAGCTGCGGGCTGTGCCTGTCAAAGCATATGCGAGTAATAACAAAGCTGCTAGCTCAAAGTCCACACGGCCCATGGCAAGAACGGGCACTAGTAGCAGCAGCACCACCACCACCACCAGCAGCGGCGGTCGCCACGAGAAAGAAACTGTGACACTCACATGCTACTGGTGCAGATTGCACGGAGAAAACTAGCATGCCCAGAGCGAAGTCCGTGCACACTGCAATCCTCCTGCATCGCAAGGACGGAACCGTAACCATCATCATCGCCATCATAATCGGCAGCATCAACATCGTCGCCCTCACCACCATCATGCTGTCAATCAACAAATGAACAGAAATCAGAGCAAGATTCTCTGTATGAACAGGGCCGCAGACAGACGACGACACTCGACAAGGATGGCGACCACCACCACCACCACCACCACGACACGACGATCACGACGAACGATGACAACGACGAACGACGAACGATGACCTCCAGCATCACGCAACATAGCACTACAAAACTAAAGCGACTCTGAACAGCGACAGTGTTGCTGATGATATGATGATGGAACTGTTGGCTGTGATGATGAACATTAGGCCAAGCATACAGATCAAAAACCCAAGCAACACACAGGTTTGCGTGCACGTATTTATATATATATATATATATATATATATATATTCAAATGTTGAATAGGTGTAGGTGAGAGAGACATAGAGAGAGAGAGAGAGAGAGAGAGAGAGAGAGAGAGAGAGAGAGAGAGAGAGAGAGAGAGAGAGAGAGAGCGAGGGAGGGAGGTAGTGAGGGAGGAGGGAGGGAGGAGGGGAGAGAGGGAGAGAGAGAGAGGAGAGAGAGAGAGAGAGGAGAGAGAGAAGGAGAGCAGGAGAGAGAGAGAGAGGAGAGAGGGAGAGGGAGAGAGGGAGAGAGAGAGAGAGTGAGGAGAGTGAAGGAGAGAGAGAGGGAGAGAGGAGGAGAGAGAGAGAGCGATAGAGAGAGAGGAGAGGGAGAGGAGAGAGAGAGAGAGCGGAGAGAGAGAGAGAGAGAGAGAGAGAGGGAGAGAGAGAGCGGGGAGGGAGAGGAGTGAGAGAGAGGAGGGAGAGAGAGAGAGAGACAGAGAGAGAGAGAGAGAGAGAGGAGAGGGGAAGAGAGAGAAGAGAGGGAGGAGAGAGGAGAGAGAGAGCGAGAGAGAGCGAGAGGGAGAGAGAAGAGAGAGAGAGAGAGAACGAGAGAGAGGAGAGAGAGAGAGAGAGAGAGAGAGAGCGAGAGGAGAGGAGAGAGAGGGAGAGGGGGGAGAGAGGGAGAGGAGAGGGAGAGGGAGAGAGAGAGAGAGAGAGAGAGAGAGAGAGAGAGAGAGAGAGAGAGAGAGGGAGAAAGAGAAGCACAGATGGTTAGAGGAAAAGAACGGGTATCATGGTGATGCGACGATCTGGAGGAAATTGTTGTTGTCAACATATGTTGGCACTGGGAAGGCACACATATGCAGCGAATCCATGCTCCAGCGGGTGTCGCGGCACCGGACAATTTACGAGACACAGACATGCCAGGCAAGTTGGCACAGTCCCTTGTCGAGAAACCAATGACTTCT